GCCCCCACAAGTCGCCAACTTTGTGCAACACTTGATTGGCCCAAGAGAGTGGCGAGATTAGCATTGTGACTGCAAAGTGTCTGCAGTGGTCGACCACCAGCAAGGTATCTATAACAATATAAATGCACAGAAATATTTGCAGGAAACAAGAAACCAATAACAAGCAACCCTCAAGTGGACCCACTTCTCAGCTAACTTATAGAAGGCTGTTGGTTGAAGTGTGTTCATCGCATTATCGGGAAGTCCACACGAAAGTTGGCTTCGAACTGGGGTGCGAAATGGATCATATGGAGTTCTCTGAATGACTGCTTCTTACTTTGAAAAATACGTCGTTCTCAACTTGAACTTCGCAATGATAAACTATATCAATAATCCATTAGCGAGGACTACATATATCAATATTAGATAGTTAGTCTGTAGGTGCTGTTTAGCACACACAAATGGCGCGAAATGGAAAAGTACGGTTAGTTTGTAAAAGATCAAGAATCGAAAGAAAACAAACATGCACTTTTCCTCCGAAAACTTTCCAAAACAATCTTAAAATGAAACTGATCCAAACAGACTGCCCAATTTGCGTCAACTCTCAATCACTTCTACGATTCAGAATACAAACGCTGGCCGTAATTTGTAAGATTTGCAAACAGTAAAAAAGTTACTTTTCTAGCCATGTAGTGCTCCTGTTGTTTGATTATAGGTATGTGTGAGTTCGCTGAAATTGAAGATATGTAGAACGAGCGAAAAAGTAAAGAGGAGATTTTGAAAAAGAAAACGTAGAAGTGAAGAACCTCGTTCGGACATTGTGAGAATAAAATTTATTGTAATTGAGAAAATACAGATTTCAGAATTCTTACTAGCCACCCCGATCAATCCATCTGGTGCTATATCAAGTGCTACATCACATGCGTAGGCCAAAGGCGACTGCCTTTGATCCATTTTATGGAGAACCAATAAACCGTCCTTGCCGCAGGAGACAATGCGTTCTGGTTGTTGGGCATTCCACCACATATCTGAGACTATTTCGATAAAAATTGGTCAGAAGCAATACCGAATATATGTAAACTAGATAACAAGAGCTATCATTCCAATTGCCCTTACCAGTCACACTATCGCTATGATCTTCGAAACTTGCGTAAGGTAGAAATGGTCGCCGAATGTCCCAAATATGCACGCTCATATCGTTCACGACTGAAAATAGATGTTCA